ATAATTATACTAAATAAAAATTTAATGAAACTAATTCCTATAGAAAAATGGTGAAAGTGTAGAATCGCCCATGCTTGTATTGCACTACTCGCACATCGACCCTATTTTCACTAAAAAAACATCCCAGAATTGCACAAAAAGCCATTGTGCACTCCTTTGACTTATTCATGTACACATCGACCTATTTTCACTTAAAAAGTCAAAAGAAAATGACAAAAATCCAATTCCTTTGTAAAAGTGCCAACAAATAAGTATGCGATTCTGCACTTTACCCGAAAAAATATAAAAATACCCATTACCTATATATTAATAATTTATTATACACAAGGTTTTTCATATATCATCTCAAACGAACATAAATTTAATTAAAGCGATGCATTATTGGAATTAGTTTGTGTCAGTGTTGTAGTGTAAGTTATTTAGATTTCTATTGTATAAAGAATACTTTAGAAAATGTATAGAAATTTATTTTGAACCATAAAAATTCTAAATAGTAAAATTTAAAGTACTGAAAAATAGCTATTGTTTTTGACAGTAGATTATATAATACAAAAGTACCCTCATGTGAGCATTTTCGAAATTACAATGCCAAATGAAATTTTATAGCGCAGTATTAGCAATAATAACTTTTTGTAACAATGTAGCTATATTCGCTTAATTGCAACGACAGTAATTTTAACTGCATTTGTATAAGGCTGTACCGAAGATTTATTTATATGGGCTTTCATTCCGCAGAGAGCACCGGATTCTCTGTGGAAGTGCTTCGAAAATAATTTTAAATATTACTCTAACTATATTTGAAAGCAATGCTATAACAGTACCCTTATAAGACTCATGATCCGAAAAGATTTGGTTTTTAATTGTCTCGTAAAAACTTTCAGTTACTTCTGCAAAATTCATACCCCATAAAAACTACATACACCGAAGTCAATTGATTATACAGCAAAACGTTCCTAAAACAATCAACTCCACAATTCCAGATAATGCCAGTTTCCTGTAGCCTGACAAAACAATGAATGATTTTTAAGTCCTGTTATTTAATTATTGTCTTGACAAATGTTCCATATCAGAGGGTGGTCATTAAGAAAATAACCACTATATGAGGTTCAACTTAAGTAATTTTTCAAATAATAATTCACTTTTTATACTCCCAAGACTAGTACATTTAATATACATCTTATTCCCAAATCTATTTCTATTTCAAAAGCAATTTATGGAAAACACTTTTGAAATTTTCTTCATCAAACTAATAATATGAAAAGTAAAGATGCATAAAATGATATATGTGTTTTAACAAATAGCACAAAATATTTAATGTAAAAATGTGGTAAAAAATAAAGATAGCATAAAAGATAGCAGATAAAAAAATAGAATAAACCCATATAACCAAACAGAAGATTTATTATTATATTGATACCAGTAAGAAAACCAGTAAAGTCAATAAACCTATAAACCAGTACAAAGTTCTGCCATTAATGTGGTTGTATGGGTATCAATTGATACCAGTAGAAAAACCCACAGAGATCAATAGAACCATAAAAATCAGTAGAGACCATCAAAAATTATATAGGTACCAGTAGAAAGTTTTACTGGTTTCTATGGGTCATTTTGAAACCGTAAGAAAAACCCACAGAGACCAATAGAAACCATAATAAACCATAAAAGTTTTTACTGGTTCTATGGGCATTTTAGCAGGGGAAGGATGCCTTCGTGGAGGACTTTCTAATGGAAACTGGCTCGTATACACGTTACACATGGGGAGAACCACGAAAACGTCCATGCAGCCAGCCCGTTCCCGGGATTCAAACCTCAGACCGAACTACCAGTGTACAGCGACTTTACCGCTCGGCCGCTGGTGGGCGAGAAGTTTTGGATTATATCATAATACATTTGTTTCGCGAAAATCTGCTTAGAGCTTCAAGCAAATCCTCATTTCCGGTGCATCAATTACAGCCAAAATCTAATATGTTATTCCCATTGATATAAAAGTCGTAAATGCTAAAATTAGAAAGTTTTCGTTTATATTATAATACAGTTTTTCGACTTCAAGTAAGTACCACTTCCAGTTGTTCGATTTTACTCAAAATCTAATTAACTCTTTATATGAGTTGCAAAATCCTTAAATACAATTTTTTGGAAATTTGATATTATAAGAGCAACTTGTCACACATACATACAGACGAGGAGATATCATTATAAAAAATTGTAAAAGCGTATTGTAAAGGATTCTAATTTGTGCTTGTTCATTGGAAACTCACTACCGAATTTTTAGACTGGAAACAGTGCCTCCCTTACCTTTGTACATAAGTTGGCGGGAGTTAAAAACATTTATGTCTTCTTCATTAAATAAATGCAAGTTTTTCTCGCGGCAAATATTTACAACGAAACAATATCAAAGCAATATTTTTATACAATCGTGATTTTATATTTTGTGTGACTTATTTTAAATACAGGATTTATCTCCTCAGGAAGTAATCTTGATTATCATAAAAATGATTGAGTAATCTATCGTAACTGCTCAGCTAAAAATTGCGTTAGATTTTACACTAACGTCACAATTCTTTTTAATCCTCGCAAACATTTATATTTTAAATTTTTACAAATATTTATATATGTTTTTGAAACTCTTTTTACAATGGCGGGCACTGGACATTATAGGCGTTAGCCACTACTACGGCCGCAAGTGGTGGTCGCTTTATTATGGAGGCACCTAACATGATGAAGCACCGTTGCCTCCTTTAAAAGGATAAATAGTTTATATCCATGCCATCTCCGGAATTTGAACCCGGGGACTCCGGTACAAAAATCAACAGTCACTATTTTCCCGTCAGCATGCCATGTTTTTGAAACTAGAGTGGTTGAGTTTCTGATACGCCTTTTTGGCTATTTCATATCATCGCCGGGTAGGTTGTCGAGTCATCCTAGTGAGCCTTAAATTTAAATTGTTAGTCCAGTACTACTCTTTATATTTGAAATTATTGTATAATAAGTTCCACCACAAGTCGACGGTGTTATTGTAAGCACAAAATGCGTGTATTTGTGTTAAGAGTTTGATGAATAATAAAAGGTTATTCTACGCTTCTTTTGTGCTGGTATTCTTTTAGGCCTGTGCGAGAAATCGCCAGATTCCTGATCTAGTGATATTCATGATAGCAAAGAGAGATCTTACAGTGTTTTCTGCTATTTACAAAACTTAATTTGATTAAAATTACGAATATTCCTACTATTATGTTTTTTACAAAATGATGACAAAGCTAAAAAATCTGATGTGTACATGATTTCTTTGTACGGAATATTAACATACAACTATTTTTTCTTGCATTTCATTCAAATTTATTGGATTGAATTAAATATACTTAGTCGATAGCGCATAAACCACAATAGAATAAATTCACTGTTTAAAATTCACTATATTTGTTTACCATAATGACATTCTCGGTCTAGGTTTTTTTTTTTTTTTTTTTTTTTTTTTTTTTTTAACAGCGTTATTTTTTTTTTTTCATTTTATAACTCAGAATGCACGAAATTTATATCATCTAAAGAATTATCTTATCGTTGCCACATGTTTTATTCAAATTCTATAAATCTAAAACGTTGTATAAAAGAAATTAAGCTTAATCTAAATATTTTTTAAACAAAAAAGAAACAGGTTTTCACAGACCAATCAGTATTTCTAATTCAATTAATTCAGTTCTCACTTCGCGACAACGCGAAAATACATAAAAACTCTAAATATCTATATTAAAAATTACGAAGTAAATCTCAAACACTTATTTCCTCGAATAAATTCCAGAATGGATTAAGCATGATTTAACTCGCAATAATAAATGAAGGCGTTATCTTTGTTGTTACGAAGCTTAGTTTCTATAGATTGGCAACAAATCCACTATTCTGCTAAGTTTCAAATGTAAACAAACATGGCCGCCTTGGTTAAAATACTTAGGCAAAGCCACACTTAAACAACTTTTAAATTGTTAATAATTGTACATATATTGCATGCAGATTTACTAAAGGCATTAAAAACCTTAACCGGAAGATAAGAACAAAACAATTCAATTATTTTTAAAGCAAAAAAAATACACAATTTACAAACGTATAAGAATAAAGAAAGTGGGCTCACTCAGCAGAGTAACAGAATGGATATATACATGCATATATTTATGTACTTTTGGTGAGGCCGATTGCAAACGAAGTACGAGGTGCACATCTACATGATATAGCAGTCCTACTTACAAAATTTCAGCATTCTGACGCTGCTCATCATTTTTGAGTTAAGCGTGATACGTACGTACGTATCACGCATAACTCACACAAAAATTCTCTCCAGAATTCTTTTTAAATCAGTTTTACATTTTTCGGAGGGGTAAAAGAGCCTTTATTCTGTTCTTACATGCCGATGTCACCCAAAAACATCGTTAAATTGCACTCGATAGTCGTCAAAATGGATATTTTCGTTACCCAAAATTTTTCGCGATTATAATACTTTCTTTTTACTTCGCACAAGGAAATAATATATAGTATGGTTATTCAACGTTTCTATTGATACAGTCGATAAACGACTACGGTAATGTTATTGAGTTCAATCAACATTTCATTTAAAAAGCATGCGTTTCAAATAAAGGAATATTATACTTGAAATGTTTGCAAAATATGCCATAAACGCGTATATTTGCTAAGCTGCTATTGAAACTTCAAAACATGCTAATATGCGTTCAGCAGTAAATCTGAATATGGTACTATAAAATGTGCTAATTTAATATGAAATTATATATATATATAAATAAAATGAAAGTGCAGTATGAAAAATGACACGTTGTTAATCATTCTAAATTTATTTGGAAATTGGTTCAATAAAAATTAAGTAATGATAAATTTTATTTCATAATTCACTCACAACGGCATTTGGAAGTAAAACATTTCCTCATCTTCTGATCTTTTAAATAAAACCTTTCTTTTTAAGACCTTTCTTTTCCCTTCTTCTCATTTTTATTTTAACATAGGTACACACAGATGACGGAAACTGTTTCAACGGGCGAGCGGTCGAAATTAATAATTGAAAAAGCGGAGAGAAAAGATTCAGCTATGGTCACCTGCACCGCCACCAATGATTATGGAGAGGATTCCATTAATATTCAAGTGACGGTCCAAGGTAATTTCCTTAAGCTGACTTCTTTAATAATTGATCTTTTTATTTTTTCGCCGAGGACAATTTCGGGAAAGTGAACGGATCATCTGCTTCAATGCTTCGTAAAACTGGAACTCAGGTAAATTAAAAAAATCATTCAGTTCGAAAAACTTCATCGTGTAAAAGGTTTAGAGAATTCAAAACTTTCCATGGATATGCTGTTGGTTATATATATATGTTGCGTAATTTTTTCTATGTCTTCCGTTTTCATCAGCTGTAAGCATATGAAACTAGTAGGTTTAAAAATGATAAACATATGGAGTATGGTTTGTAATTTAATATAACATTTGTAAAAGTTATTCAAAGGCAGGTGATGGAAAAATGTCATTTATTCTGAAGATTCAATTTGTTGAAAAATGAAAAGTAAAAGTTTTTTTAAGGGTTGTCACTTCACCAATACTTCGTCCTTGTTTTTCTAGTCCATATATTAATTCAACAAACTGCACTTTTAAAAACTCACAATGATTCGGATATTAAATAAATAATAAGAAAAATTAAACTAATGTTTTAATTCATTAATAATACATATTATAATTCAAAAATTATACACAAAAACTGGTAAATCCCCATTCATTTATTTATTATTTGAATTTATAAATTATAGGATTTGATATGAAAATGCTGCTGACATAAATTTAATTAACAAGCCCGCAAAGGCTCATTTTGTGAACCCTATTCATCTTTTCAGCTCTTTATCGTTGACGCGAGTAAACTTGCATTTAAATTGGGAGTTAAATAATTAAATATTCAGCCGTTCGCTGCATTCATTGCGGTTTATTATTTCCTTTCTCCCTAACTCAACAATCCAAAAATATTTCAGAATAACTCTAATCAGGGAAGATCGAATTTATTTACACAGCAAAGAGCTATACAGTTACAAAACCATAATAACATCCCGCCCGCTGCTTTCTATAAACGCCTTTTAGTAGAACAGAGAGAGAAGGAAGTTGGAATTAGTCAATAAGCTTCAAAATAAACGTATCTAATAATTCAGCCCATAATGATGTCCCATTATGGTTGGAAGTTTATTTACACTGTAGTTCTTATTATTCGCATTAAGCATGCGTACATAAACTATTTGCATGCCATAATAATGGTTTCTATTGTTAACTATATGAACTTATTTTTGCATCTGAAATATGGAGTGTAGCTATTTTTGCATATCAGTGTGGAAATATTGTGAAATGCATTAATATTAAGACGGTGGTGATGTTTAGTAGACTCGACTATTTGGAAACTGAGAAGATCATTTAGGATGCATCACAAGTCAGAGGTGAAGACTAACAGAAACTTAAGACAATAAGTTACTGTTACATAACATGACGGATGAGGCTATAATGAACACGAATAAAGAAATTCCTATTATTATAGCATAATTCTTTGAATGAATAAACGTGACTTGCTTCAGATGACATGCGCTTAGGTTGAAAATAATTCTATTAGATAAAATAATATTGAAACAACAGATATTGTGAAAACGAAACTGAATATTGTTATGAATTTTGTATATATGTCAACAATTTTAGTGAAATTATGTTTAAATTCTAGTATTTCATGTATAATGTAACATGAAATGCCCAAGAATGCGAAGCTCCGTCGGAAAAATAAGTTTGCAGTTGCAAGTCAATTTTAGCGCCAAGCTGGCGTTGTTTTGGGCGACTAATTTGTATCATTAAATTTGGCGTAAAATCCCCAAAAGTCTCTAAACTATGCGAACATTTGTCGACATTTTGTTCCGATCCTTGTATAAATGCAACTGTCCCGATCCATATGCATCTGTATCTGTAACCGTCCCTGCTTAACTATAACTACGTAGGCTATTCAGAAAATAACTACGGTTTAAAATTAAAAAAAAAATGAAAGTATTTTTTTTATTATTTACATTTGAAAGGCACATTATTCAGTTATTTTTCTATATAATCTCCGCATAAATTAAGACACTTGTCGTCATAATTGTACATGAGCTTGTTAATTGAATCATCATAGAAAGTTGACGTCTGAGACTTCAACCATGCACGGACGCCTACGTGCAGCTCCTCGTCATCGTCGAAGCACTGTGTTGCAATCCAGACACACACAAGTGTCTCGCAAGTAACGAACTTGACCCAAGTCTCGTCGCCTGTTACGACACGATCGAGAAGTGATTCACTGTTCGTGGAACGCCACGAGAAATGTCAAAGTTGCCGCCATGCGCTGCTTTTTGTGGTCTTCTGACAAAACTTATGATAGCCTAGATATTGCTTCACAATGCCAAACAACAAAGTTCGTGAAAGTAGAGAAAACTCTGAAATCGTGAAGTGGTGGATTTTGTGAAACTTTTTATCGATTTTCTCTACCAGTTCGCCCCGGGCACTTCGCGCTTCCTCGTGAAAATTATTTAAAACATATTTACAGTGAGTAAAGCAGAGGCAATACGTGCCGTCACCGTTTGCAGCCGGATGCGTAAGAATTCAGTAGACTCTCCGACAGCAATATGGGGATACTAGCACTAGCTCTCGCCGCGCAGCAGCGAAACGTAGGTTATTTTGTTAACAGCTCTCGTATATACGCCTTCGAGCAATTTTTCAGAAATCGAAACTACTGGAAATTTCTCGGGGGCCAGATGAAAACTATACAAGACCATATAACAAGAGTATCAGCTTTCAGTTTAGTTCAGAGTTTAGCTCAGCGTACTAATAGATCAGTGTTGCAAGTTTACGCATTTGATGCTTTTTATATTGTCTTGTGTTTAATGTTCATAGTAGTTTTAAGTGGTGATATCTGATTGTGCTCTGTGATACTGAGAAGAGTTGTGCGAGTACTTTTGTGAACGGTTACAGAAAAGTATATCTTTTGGGAAAATAACTTTTACCAAACACTCATCGGCTCTTTGTTGTGCGAGTAGAAGAGTTGTGCGAGTACTTTTGTGAACGGTTACAGAAAAGTGTTTCTTTTGGGAAAATAACTTTTACCAAACACTCATCGGCTCTTTGTGCATTCAGTCAATTACGAACCCTCGCGCACATGACAAAAGCTTGAAAGGCTTTATTACGTGAATGCATTGAACTTTAAATAATTTTTCGCAGAACCAAATCAAAACGATTATTTTGATGTAGAAATGGTAAATCGAATCTGTTTGCATGTGTAGGTTTCAAATGAGAAATTGCTCAAGTGTTTTGCAAGGTTTTAACTGGGGTGGTGTAGGTCGTGATCAAAAAGAATCTTGCTGCACCATTTTTTTTTCTGAGAATACATTATCTGCCTCAGTGGAACTCGGTAGCATACGATTTATTCATAAATACAGCAAAATGTTTATATCGGAATATAAAGAATCTAACCAAAACTTGTAGGTACCATACAGGAGTTCAGTTTGTATACACATGATGACGCAGTAACTTTATTCTACGGAGTTCAGTCCAGACTATTCTGTTTGCATCATATAAGAAGCCTGTTTCCATATTCTTGTTGCACCAAGTATCAACTGTTTTGTCTGTAGGTGCCTTTCATCGTTTGGAGGAAATCTAGGTTATACCACCACAGCAGACTTGGTGAATGCAGTAAGCTTTGTATTCATCATTGAATGTAATGCTTGCATTGCATTGACATTTTGTGTTATAATTGCCACCTAGCGGCCAAGTCTATAATCACACGGCAGAGCTATTAACGATCTCGAATTTAGAGAGAGATTTTTTATTGACTACTCTGCATCTTTTTTATTGCATTTCTATAATCTCATGAAACCATAAAAATAAATATGAATCTCTATTCTTACGAACAATAAAGTTATGCAATATTTCAAAAAATATTAACCATGCTCTTTCAAAATTCGGCAAACTTTTCGAAAAAAACTGTCAACTTCAAACGTTTAAAAATTTAAAAAAATTTTTCAATTTTTTTTCAATTTTACCTCAAAATGAATATTTTTTTATATATGGAGTTATCGTAATTAAACTTGGCTTATTCAGTGCACTCTATAGCTATAACTAAAATGCGGATTGAGTCCAAAGTTTTGAAGTAGACAATTTGGAGGATGGGCTGAAAGATTCCGAAAAATTTAGCTCAAATATATACACTAGGTGGTGCATTACATATAAATACAAACAAGCTACAAATTCCGATACAAGCGTCATTTATTTGTTTCAGACTGTTTAACAGTGTAAGGTATTTTATTCAACGCGGGCTTCCCCCGTTAAGGTAGAAAATATGTAGGCGATGAACAGTATGTTCAACAATCGACCGCTAGTCATCTTTCGCACATGCAACGTTATACGGTCCTTAAGGTGAGCCAAAATTACAAGATTTCACCAATAAACGACGCTCTTTATAACGTCATAAACAAAAATCACACAACAAAGTGGATCGGGAGAATGGGCCGTCCAATGAGTGGAAATGAACAGCTAATCACTCTTTCATCTGTAAACTGTTGCCATCAAAACTTCTGGATGCAGAAACCATTATGTGGAGGGTCACTATCCTGCGTAAAAGTGGTAGTCGCAAAGCATTGTAGCTAATGGAGACGAAACTGTTGAGCAAGCCCCAATATCTGAGTGCCGTTATACAGGAACATGTTACAGGACCATTATCGTAATTTTCTTCGATGAAAAATGGTCCAAAGATAAATTAGGAAATGAAGCCACACCAGATGGTAGCTTTAGCGAGTGCAGTAGAATTGTATGTGGATTTTCATGGCCCAAATTCAACAATTATGTGTGTTCACTTAAAGGGCTTATTTTAATTTCCTAATAGTTATTTTTAATTTTAAACAGCTTTACTTTATTCTCTTGTTTCCCACTTACAATTTCTTGTCAAATTTAGGTTTCAGTATCACGTCTTATACTTGTATAAATGAAGTAGAACCAATATTGAAGGGAAAGTCATGGCCAGTTCCGTAGAAGAGCTTAGAAGTTCTCAGTAGAGCTTGTTCTGCCTTCTTGCCACATCGTTGCTGTAAGCCAAATCTTACTACATTCGGCCGTATTGTCACG